ATTTAGTAAGGCAGAGCCGGTGCCATTCTCATTTCACAAATGAGGAGAGTTCAGAAAAGTCACATCATTAATAAATACCAGAATCAGAGCTACAGCATGGGTCTTCTGACTCACAGCCCAATAGGCCATTGTTGCCTTCAGAGTTCCAGCGACCCCCTGCCCTCCCNTTTTTATTAGGGAATTGGGAGAGGGGAACAGTGTTGGGGAATTGGGGAAGGGGAACAGCCAAGTTGTTGTCCTTCAGTCTTAGTTGTGGAGGGCGCAGCTAGCTCAGCTCCAAGTCCAGTGCTCAGCTCAAGGTGCTGTGTTCAATCTTAGTTGCAGGTGGGCAGAGCCACCATCCCATGCGAGAGTCGAACCAGCAGCCTTGTTGTTAAGAGCACAGTCTCTATCCACTGAGCCATCTGGGTGGCAGCTCAGCTCAAGGTGCCGAGTTCAGCCTTAGTTGTGGGTGTAGTAGCCCATCATCTCCAACAGGCAACCTTGTTGTTAGGAGCACATGCTCTCACCAGCTGAGCCGTCCTGCCACCTGTTGGCAGCTCAGCAGCAGCTCAATTTGGGCGTCGCTCACTGGCCCATGTGGGAATCAAACCGGTGACCCTGTTGCTCAGAGCTCACATTCTTAAGCAAGCTCTTGACCAGCTGAGCCACTCAGCTGGCCCCTGGAATTGTCTTTTTTGTTCCTTTCTCCACCGTAGATATTTTAATAGAATACGGTCTCTTTGGGATCAGGTGTTACATTTTATATTTATTTGTTCTTCAAAAATTCTAGGAACATAGTGAGTACTACAAAGTGCTGTGTTGGTTGAGTATTATCTCTCTTGAAATTCAATGAAAACAACCATAAAAAATCTCCTACACAGTCTTTTTAAAGCTCTGGATATATAGTACCACTTTTGAAACAGTTGAGCATATTTTTTTGTCTTTGTCTTATGATTGTGTCTTTTACTGTTGTATTCTTTCAGATGCAAGGCTGGCTCTGAAAAAATACATTGCAAAGGTCTCTGCAGCTGCTACAGAGATAGAAAAGGGACCAGGGAGACTCGGTAAAGAAGACAAGGTACCACATTGTGATTACTGCTTGTTCTGAGGTCTTTTGAGATTTTTGCCTCATATCTTCTACACTGATGCTTTAGAGATAGGTGGTGGTCCTCACTGCTCTCTTCTCCTGTTTTTCCCTCGTTCCTTTCCTCCCTCCTTCCCTCCCTCCCTCATTTCTTTCTTAATAAACTATTGGTAAGAGATAGACTAATAAAAATTAAATGAAATAATATTGAAGAGTGACGTAGAGATGTATCTAGTATCTCACCCAACATGAATGAATCTGAGAAATGTAGTGTTGAGTGAAAAAAAAATTGCCAAAACTACATAGATTTTTATAAAGGTCAAAAACAAGCGAAATCAAACTATTATTTAGATGCCTACATATGGGATAAAACTACTTTTAAAAGGAAAGCAAAGGTATATGCACAGATTGTGATTATCTCTTGGAGGTAGGCAAGGGGATGGAAAAGGAGAGGGACACAGAAGTGATTAGAGGGGTCACTGATATTATTTTGCTTCAAAACTTAGATATACACATTATATATCTATATATATATATATGTATATATATATACGTACACATTGCATATTTCTTAATTATCAAATTTTACATAATGGTAAAAAAAAAAGGTACCCAAGTTATAAGGTTGGTTCTTTAAAGCCAGCTTGCCACATTTACTGTATACTAAGTACTACATGTGGACTGGCTTTGGATGTGCAGACACACAGAAGGGAGATGCAAGGTATCAGGAATGTGGTTTGGTTTTAAGTTATTTCCTGCATCTCTGTGCAGGATGTTCTGTGACTTTCTGATGAAAAAGAATGAGCTATTGCCAAAAAGCATAGACATCCCAAGTCTGGGAACATAGTTACACATTTCACCTGCAGTTTCTGAAACACTTTACAAAATCTCCTATGAAACAATATAGGCAACATTCTCTTAGAATACCTATTGGAGCTACTAGATCTGCAAAACAAAATTTTCCTGGCACAAACAAACTAGTTACTATGAAGGCCTTTTCTATTTCTATTTTTAAATATTTGGTTATTTGAACTAGAAAATATTAGGCACAGATAGTAACACTTAGAATAACATTGCAATGTCTGAAGCAAGCTTAATAGTNATGGGAAATTAAGTCTTCTTGTGGCATAAAATTTGTTCAGGAAAGTAAGAAAAATCACAAATATTTAAATCAGGGATTTATTAAAACACTAAAGACTCTATGCTACCGATCAGTTGATAATTAGTAACCTAATACAATAAAAAGAACAAAATACTTAAACCTGAAGTGACAGTGTACCATCTTTTCCCCAGGCCTTTACTAAGTATAGGTGCCTTTTTAAGCTGAATAGAGATAACTTTTCAACCCAGACTTCTTTGGAAAGTTTCAGTAAAGGTGACAAATTACAAAGGCTTGCAAAGAACCATTTTTATCCTCACCTGAGTTCTTTCAATAGATTTCTTGGGTAATCTCCACATTGGATGGGGCTATACTTGCACGTGTTCTCTGGCTCCTTTTCCTTCACACTTCTTCTTTGGTTTTCGGTGCTTGACTTTCTTTGCCAAAGGATGACGGGGTGGCTGATTCAGGCACTGGGTCATTATCGACGCTGTGGCAACCAGATTGCAGAGTAGTTGGTCAAAGTCACAGATGGACTGCCTTTGTGGGTCATTACCAACTGTATCTAAGGAGACTTTGTTTTTCAGCTAAAAGGAGAAAAACAAATGATATTATCGTTTTTTTTTTCCTTATTGTAGTTGAAATTAAGTTTGTTTTCTGGATGTGTGTACTTAAGCTCCAAACACCATGCGTTACTTACTTGTATAAAGGAAAGGTTACTGTAGAAGAAAGGTAAGACTGCAGAATAAATGCTCTTTTGTTTAGGCCCTCATATAAGATTATAGTAATCATTACCACCATCAGCAAACATTTAAAGAGTGCTTTTTGTGGTTAGCACATTCTACTGGGAGAAATTATTTGAATATTAACAAAATATTTCCCTTTGCTAAACAGCCTCAAGGTATAATGCAATCAAATCAGAGCCATTTCATAGCTATCTAATTGTTGTGAAGGTCAGTGAGCTTTGAAGATTGCCTCAAAATATGGTGCCCTTGGCAAAGTGGAAAATTAGCGTAAGAGTGCCATTTCCCAGAAAGTTCTCCTAACATCAGAAATTAGTGTCCAGTCCATTTAAAAGAATATGTGCCAATTTTTATATACTTAGTTGTTTTAGATAGATCTGGAAGGGACCTAACAGATCTCTTGTTCTAGATCCTTCATTTTGTGGATGAAACAGCTAAGATCAGATGACTTATCTCAGGGCCCAGACCGACAGCTGCATTCCCTATACATTCTACTCGTTGTAGCTCACTACTTTCCTGATGTGTTTTGTGACTTGGAACAGAGGGATTGGACGGGATTATTTTAAGGACTTTCTAACTCAGTACATATTGTCACACAACTAGTATGTACAAGACACCTCTAGATGCCGGGCAGGGGTGAATGGCGGTGCTGGGATGCGGGGCGGCGTTACAAGGAGGAATAAGGCTTGGTACTTTCCGCCACAGAAGCTGGTAATCTTATGTTTTAAACTCTGATATTCTATAACTATTGCTGCTTGCATCACTAATTCACCTTTTTCTTGTGTTTCTTCCATTTCACCCAGAGGTAATGCACAGATAAAACAAACAGGCTTAAAAAGATAGCTTGTATTAAGATATACATGAGATGTAAAAAATCCTGAAATATATCCATATTAGCAAAATTGTAGCATAGCTTGTCCAGAGGGTAAGGTAGACAGTGAGACGGAGAAAGCTTAACCTTCAGATAATGCATTTCTTCTGGAAAAATCTCCCATCCAACCTTTGTCCAGATAGTTCCATCACAAATGCAGAAGCTCTCCTTTAAGAAGCAGATAAACAACAGGGGAAAAATCAGGGCTGTTCCTTGAATGGACATCTTTCTTTCTCAATTGGGACAAAAAAAATCTATAGCCAGAAACATGGCCAGGGAGGCAGAAATGCCCTTGGTATTAGTGAATATGGTGTGCCGGTCAAGGCATTGAAGATCGTCTTCCTACTTTGCAGAGTATACATGGATGATCATTGTCACAGCATCAGTCATAGTGACTCAGGGATAGACTCAGTGATGTCATAAAGAACCACACTGGAACTAAAACGTGTCACCTAGCCAGTCACTTGGTTTTTTTCAGGGATACATTTTCTTGCTTTTTGTCAGAATGGTTTCAGTGTCTCCAATTTTATAAAAAATGAAGACTTTACTAATATTTTGCTAGCTAATAAATTCAAGCTGTAATCATATTAATGGAATTTCATGGAAACAATGTACTTATATGTCTTCCAACCTTTTTGAGGTGTGGCAGTTTTACATCTGCTTAAAAAGCATCTGCAGCCATACCATTTCACACAACCTACATTCTTCTGTTTTTTCACTCTGAATTGCCCTTCCCTTCCGAGTATTGAGTGCCTTCCCCTTTTTGCTTGTGTCCCTTTGGTGGCAATGTGGTGTTATTAGGTAGTGGGTGAGGAGTGGGCAATTTGGCATGGTACGTGATAAAAGATGAGATGGTGAGGTGGCATGGTATGTGATAAAAAAAAATGAGACAGAGACCCCGCCTTTGAGGATCTTAACAATCTAGAGGTAGAAGCAAAATAACAAGATAATAAAAATTCCAAGATATTGCAGACAAAAATGAGAGCTAGTTATAACCATGCAACAGTTGTTAGAGCAATGAGTTCTACCTGGGGAAATTTGGAGTTTCCTAGAAGTGTATGTAAGTAAGCTTTGACTAATGAGTAGAATTTTGGTAGGTCGCGATGCGGATAGGGCATCTGAGGTTGAGGAAACAGAATAAGCAAAGAAATTTTGTGTCAACATTCATATGACAGATATTTATTGAGCATCTCCTATGTGCTAAATACTGTTCTAGGATCAATGCATATACAGGTAGGCACAAAATAATCTTTATGTTTATGGAGTTTGCTTTCTAGTAGGGAGACACAGAAAATAATATCTATCTAAATATATCTTAGCTATGGAATGCCGTGGAGAAAAATAGAGTGAGAAGGGGGTTATGAAGTTGCCAGCAAGTGAATGAGTGAGTGTGTGTTATTTTACGGAGGGCAGTCAGGAAAGGCCTCTCCGATATGGTGGTGCTTGAGCAGAGACCTGAGGAACTGCAGGAGTGGGCCATGATGACATCTGGGGACAGAGGAAGAGGAAGTAAATAATGGATAGACTTTCTGGATGAAAGTTGGAAGGAATAAAGCTGGAAAGATAGTTGGTGCGAGATAGATTGTGTGTGGAGGGCCCTGTATTTTATTCCGTAATCATTGATAGAGTTTTGAGGAGAGGAATAACATCAACAAATTGAGTGCGTTACTGCACACCAGGCACTAAGCCAAGATATTTGCATGCATTATGCTGCATTTTGTTCCATCCTTGCGACAACCCTTTGAGCGCTGTACTCTATTACTTACATTTTATAGATGGGGCAACTGAGGTTAGAAGGGTTAACGTATTGTTGTCATCTGAATGTTTGTGTCCTCCCCAAATTCACACATTGGAGTCCTCATGCCCAATATGATGGGACTGGGAGGTGTGTGGGCCAGGAGGGCGGAGCTCGCAGGAATGGGATTAGTGTTCTTACCAAAGGTTCGCTGCAGCGCTCCACAGCCCCTTCCACCACGTGAGGACACGGTACGAAGGCCCAGACCAAGTTGGTGCCTTGATCTTGGACTACCCAGCCCCCAGAACTGTGAGAAATACATTTCTATGGCTTTAAGCTACCCAGTCTGTGGTATTTTGCTATGGTAGTCTGAACGGACCAGGACAGGTATGGTGCATTAAGAGGACGCTGTCTGTACCAAGCCACCCAAAATAAATATGTGCTCTCGATAAAATCAGTGTGCTTATTATACAGATGCCTAAAAATGTGGAAGTAGCTCTGGAATTGGGTAATAGGTACATGGGAGAATTTTAAGGTCCATGTTGGAAAAATCCTGTTGATGGAAATAAGGTCGTTAAAGGCGCTGCTGGTGGGGGCTCCAGGGGAAGTGAGGAATCTGGTAGAGAAAGCCTGCATTGTGTTAGAGAACACTGAAATCATCATAAACAGAGTGCTGGTAGAAATATGAACCCTAATGTGCTGCTGGTGGGGGCTCAGAAGGAAGTGAGGAACGTGCTATTGGAAGCTGTCCCGTGGTGGCAGAAAACTTGGCTGAATTGTGTCCTGCCGTTAGTTATAAGGAGCGCAGACCTTACATGTGATGAACTTGCACATTTAGCTGAAGAGATTTCCAAGCAAAGTGTTGAAGGCATGGCTTGATTTCTTCCTGTTGCTTATAGTGAAATGTAAGAGGAGAAAGATAAATTGAGGGAAGAACCTGTTATGCACCAGGGAAACAGGACTTGATGGCTTGGGAACTTGTCAGCCTGTCCAGATTGAGAAAGTGCTAAAATTCAGAGATTCACTGTGGGGAAAGTGAGTGCTGCAGAGAAAGAAAGTCAACGATGGCTTTGCAATGCTGGGCAGTGCTTTGCTAGTATGAAGAGATGAGGCATGCGACTCATGGGTCTCCTCCGCCATCTCAGCAGAAGTGACATTGTCCAAGAGGGACCCCTGGAGGAGCCTCTTGTGTAATGGATGAATCTTTGTGACACACAGGGAGACTCACAAAGCTTTTAAGGGTGTCGTACTAGCGGGAACATTGTCAGTTTGGATATGCAGTGGTTCTCAACCTTCCTAATGCTGCGACCCCTTAATACAATTCCTCATGTTGTGGTGACGCCCAACCATAAAATTATTTGCGTTGCTACTCTATAACTGTAATTTTGCTACTCTTATGAATCATAATGTAAATATCTTTTTGTTTTCCAATGGTCTTAGGCGACCCCTGTGAAAGGGTCGTTCGACCCCCAAAGGGGTCACGACCCACAGGTTGAGAACCGCTGGGATAGAGGGACAGAGAGAGGACAAAATGAAAAAAGGCTGCCGGATTCCCAAAACTCCCCAGGCAGGAAATGACTGATAAAGCTATGGAGCTGCAAGAAATGGGCTACTTTTCATGAAAAAGGAAGGATGACTGGCTGGAACTGCAGGCCAAAGGGGTGGAGCCTCGCCACAAAAGCTCATTCTCAGGCCTTGACACCTGATGGAATTTGCCCTGTGGGATTTTAGAGTCGCTTGGGACGGGTGACTCCATTTTTCCTTCCATTTTCTCCCGTTTTGCATGGCGGTGTCTACAAATGTCACTCTGTGCCCGTCCACCACTGTAGTTTGGGAGTACAGGACTTGTTTTCTAATGTAACAGGCCTATAGGTGGCGAGGAATTTTACCCCAGGATGTAAGGCTCATACCAAAGCCTCACCCATCCCTTGTTGAGATGATTTAGATGAGATTTGAGACTCTTGAGTGGATGATATTTTAGATGAGCATTAGGACACAAACTGATGTGATGGGTTGAGACTTTGGGATGTTGGGATGGGGTAAATGTGTTTTGCATGTGGGATAGCTGTGAATTTTGGAAGGTCAGAGAGCAGACTGTGGTAGGCTGAAAAATGGCCACCAATGATATCCTATCTCTGGAACTTTTTTTTTTTTATGATTTTTATTGGGGAATTGGGGGGATCGGAACAGTTCTGGGGAATTGGGGGAAGGGGAACAGACCAATTGCTGTCGTTTTGTTCTTCAGTCTAGTCGTGGAGGACGTNAGAACCCTCATCATGACCAGGCCATGCAGCTCCTCTTGGAAGAAGACATCGTTGGGAGAAATTTGTTGTACGCAGCTTGCATGGCTGGGCAGAGTGATGTGATCAGAGCTTTGGCAAAATATGGTGTGAATCTGAATGAAAAAACCGCCAGAGGTATTTTGTCTTTTCTCTCATTACTATTACTGATGACTGTGTAAAGATGTTATGTGTTATCTTCAAAGTTGGATAGATGTGATGTGCCTGCCGTATATTTTGCATATGTCATATATGCACGCACACATATATATGAATGTATCTGTGTACATGTTGATACAGCATAGTATAGTTAAGGGTACAAACTTCATCATTCATTTCCGGTATGACTTGGGCAAGTTACCTAATCATTTTGTGTCTCCACTTCTTCACCTGCAAGATGGGGCTAATAATTGTATTTTTCTTAGAGGGTGTTATGAGGATTAAATAAGATACATGTAAATATCTCATAGTTGGCACAGCGAAAGTTGGTCAACAGTCAGTGCTTAGTAATATTACTGCAGTGATGAGCCTTGCAGGGCGAAGTCCTTTGGACCTGAGCGTCTCCATCCTGTTGGTCAGGTTACACACTCTTGCACTGCGCTGCAGCCTGGGGGCGTCTGGGAACGTTGAAGGCGCTGGTGGACTTGGACGTTGATATGGAAGCTCTGAACTTCCGGGAAGAACGTGCTCGAGATGTCGCCGCTCGGTATTCCCAGACCGCATGTGTTGAATTCCTGGACTGGGCAGGTAAGGAAGCTCACTGGGTTTGGCAAACTGACTGACCCACCTGTGCACTTTCCTGTGTTAAGTGATGCTTCAATCAGAGCTCAAAAAACCTACGCACTCTTATGAGTTTTACTGACATTGTGCGTACGTCATTTCCACAGCCCTGTAGAACATAGCGATTTCAGGGAGATATACCTGTGTATGCGTACAAACAGTGGGTGAAAAATGCATGCTTCACAAAGTTCCCGGCATTCACTGCGCAGTTATTTGCATTTATGTTTTCAGTAGGCATTTATTAAATCCCCATAGAGCATAGCATTGTTGTAGGTACCATTGGTTGCCCCTGCCCTCTGGACATTTGGTAGGTGGCGGATGATAAGCTGTAGACGCATCCTACAGTTAAATAACAACAAAAGAAAGAGTAAGGGTTAAAATGGGCAGAACGGGGGGTGCGTGCTATGGAGTGGTCGGAGCGTATGAGTTGAGCTGGGCCTTGTAGAAGGGCTGGGATTTGAATATACAATAGAAGGGAAAAGGGCAAAATCTTAAAAGAGCTGAGACCAAAAGTGGCGTGTTGAGGGATGGACAGAGAGGGACGTGGTTGCCTTACCGGAACTCAAGTCTGTTTGCACAGGTAGGCTACAGCTCAGGCAGAATAATAAATGAGTAAGTACATGGGCTCTTGAATCACATTGCTTGAGTTTAAACACTGGTGTCTCCACTTGAAACCTATGTGACCTTGGACAATGTACTTAAATTCTTTATACCTCAGTTTCATTTTCTAGATAAAGGGGCCAATAATAATTCCTATCTCTTGGGTGTTGTGAGAATTAAAATGAGATGATACAAAGCACTGTAGCCACCTGGAGCCACTGGAAATTTTTATGTAGAAGGGAGAGGTTGAAAGTGATAGGAAGATTCATCTGGTAGCAAAAAGGAGCTTGCTTATCAGCAAAATGAGCAGGGGACTGGGGCAGTTAATAGAAATAAGGAAACAGAGGGAAGGAAGCACATTTCAGAAGAAGAAGGTGAGTTATACTTTGTGGATTATTTTATAGGTAGTTGTCCACTTGCACTAAATGCTTTCTAGGGGCAATATTTCTGTCCGTACCTTCAATTTTATGATTAGATCTGTAAGTAAAAAGAAAATAAACAGCAAAGAATTTAGGTGATCCCACAGTGAATAATTATTGTGGGTGAAATTCACATTATATAATTTAAAATCCATTTTTAAAGAATGACCCACAACACTTAAATAACACAATTCAGGGACAAACTTTTCTGTAACTTTTCTGAAAAGAAACAGGCTGGGGCTCTGGGTGTGGAGTTTCATTGGTTCCCTTCTCCCTAATATCCACCTGTTTTACTTTGGATCCTTACATTCTTGAGGGAGTTATCTCTAACACTGCCCAGTGATGAAGATGAAAGACTATTATACTATAAACTAGTATTCTGTTTCCAGGTCAGCGATACACTTGTAAAGATTGGGGCTTCATGGTAATGTAGGTCTGGAATGTAGTCAGAAGCACAGACTACTCAACATGAAATTTAACATTTTAGTTCAGACTTACCAAGGATATAAACCACCTTCCAGTTCTTCTGATAATTAGAGCAGGAGGCACCTGGAGAGGGATTGAGGACTCATTACCCCAGAGCCCCCTCCATACTGCTGAAAATGCCATTAGAGGTCAAGTTTTTGAGGTTTGGAAGCTTTTTAAGTGTTCAAGAGTCCTCCATTAAAAGAAACATATATCAGTGCTCTCTTCGAGGGAATTAGTTGGTAGTTCAGAACTCTGAAGGGACAGAACAAGCAATACTGAAAATGTGGGTAGGATTGTGCTAAGGAGGAGTGGAATTAAGGAGGAGAATCTGGAAAGTTGAATCATAAACTTTTTTTTTTTNTAAATACCAGAATCAGAGCTACAGCATGGGTCTTCTGACTCACAGCCCAATAGGCCATTGTTGCCTTCAGAGTTCCAGCGACCCCCTGCCCTCCCTGCTTTCATACTGTCTGTGAACTTTTGGTTATATGTAAGGGGGGTTGCAGATGTGATAACTTTTATGGGCAAAGAATGTAATTGTTTTTTGTCTGTGATCCAGTTTCTTTCATGAGCACTCATTATTTTAGGAAAAAATAATGGAAATGTTCAATTGGTTTTCAAGTTGAGCTCAATCTGTAATTGACTCCTTTGGCTAATGTTTAATTACTCTTATACACAAATGTTTAGGTTCTCAGATAACTTCTCCCCTGAGTCTCTCCTTGAGATGATTGATGTCCTGGTATATATACATGTGAATGGCTCATGAGATCCATGGGGAAGTGGCTATGGGGAAGTGTTCATTCGCCATGTCTGAGCCCCTGTACCTTGTGAACAAGTCTCTCCTGGTTTGGACAGGGCTCAGTAGCTCTCCCTGGCTCTAGGGCTCCTGGGCTCACTGAGTTACACTGAGGTAGGGGCCAGATCCTCTGCTACTTCTTAGATCTCATATATGTCCTAAAGCAGTGGTCCTCAAACTTTTTGGTCTCAGGACTCCATTACACTCTTAAATATTATTGATTCCAAAGAGCTTTCCTTTATGGGGGTTATATCTATGCATATAGTAACTATTATAAATATAGGCAGCATTAGAAATTAAAACTGATAATTTAAAAAATGTTTATTAATTCTTTGAACAATAACAAAAATAAACCCGTTATACATTAAACAAATTATATATTTCTCATGGTAAATGACTTTTCTAAAACAACAATATTAGTGAGAAAGTTAAAATTTTTAAATATATAGAATATTGATAGAAGGAAGGAAAAGCTATATTATTATGATCATCCTATTAGTAATTATATTCACAGTAAACATACTTTAAAATGTCCTAAAGCTTCTATGTTATAAGAAGAAAAAGACCCACAGAAATAGAATTCTTTGCTCTGTCTTCCAAAGACAGAATACAATGAAGGATACCATCAGCAATAAACCACCAAACACATGACAGGAGAGTTTACTTTTATTCTTCTAGTTAGATATTTTCTTTTAAATGTCAGTTCTAAAGATAAATATCCTGGAAGACTTCACTTTGTCCTTTTATTCAGCAAGACTGATTCCAGCTTAGTCCAGATTTGGACTGGGACAGTCTTGAGGGTTTAACAACAGATCGGAGTGGCTTGAGGGTTAGTCTTAGGCGAGTGGTTCCCAAAATGTGGTCTGAGGAATCCTGGGGGATCCTTAAAACATTTTCAGGAAGTCTACCAGTCAAACCATCTTCATATTAATTCTTAGGCATTATTTGCCTTTGCATTTTCACTCTCTCACATGTTACAGTGGTTTCAAAGGCTACATTACATGGCGTCACATCACCTATCACCACAGTGAATGCAGAAACATTTATGGGAATTCATCTGTCCTCCATGAAGCCAGACATTAAAGAGATTTGCAAAAATGTAAAATAATGCCACTCTTCTCATCAATATTTTTTGTAAAATACAGTTGTTTTACATAAGCTATATTTTTATGTTAACATGTAATTGTTTTAAGATGAATTAATAAATATTTTAAAGATTTCTCAGTTTTAACTTCTGATATGGTACACATATTGATATAATAATCCACAGAAACAAAAATTGGCGGGGGTGGGGTGGTGGTGGTTCTCAATTTTTAAGACTGTAAAAAGGCCTGAGATCAAAGAATTTGAGAACTGGCTGCCCTAATCATGTTAGTTCTGGGCTGATATGGAAATTAAGCTGCATTTAAAGGTATCCCAAGGGAGCTTTGAGTATTCTGACCTGAATCATATTTTCAGGTTTGATCTAGCTTATCTCCAAATCTTTGAATTTACCTGGGATCAGATTGATCTCTAGATGCAGAAGAATCTGTCTGTAATCAAGTGTTTGGTGGTGGTAGAGTTGAAAATCATTTACTCAAGAATCTGCATAGGAAAACGGTGTGCTTAAAGAAGAAATAATAGCGTTACCAAACGGTGTGCTTAAAGAAGAAATAATAGCATTACCATCTTTTGTTTTGCTTCATGACTGCTTTTACTGGAGGACTAAGGATGATTTAAAGATGATGATGACAGGCTCTGCTTACTGAGTGCTCACCATATGCTTGGCACATGTATCATCTAATTTCTTTTGATTCAACAATCATAGAAACCAGGTGCTAGTGCTACTCCTATGAGAGAATAGATAAGTCACCCAGTATGATGCAACTAAGAAGTTGAGGGTCGGACTGTGAAATCAAGTCTTTTTGACTTCCAAACCCATTACTCTTGGCTGTGAAGAAAAGCAGTGGAAATTGCAAGCCTGACGTTAAGAGTTATTGAACACATATGACGCATAAAGAATTGTAGTAAGTGTGAAAGTGACACAAGAGAGACATAAGGCTTGATCCTTGCCCCCATCCAGTTTACAATCTAATTGAGTAGATGGCTTACATACTTGAAACAAATAGAAAATAGGGTTATACCATATTTGCTAAGTTGTATGGTACAAACTGTCTACAGTAAAGTTCAGAGGAGGGAAAGGCCCCCCTATATTCCAGAGAAGAGTCAAGGAAAGTTTTAGGAAGAAAGTAGGTTTACAGCTTGGCCATTCCTTTGGCTAGTAGGAATGGAGGAGATAGAAAGCTATTCTAGGCCTAGTAGCAGGCAGATTTATGAAATGCAAAAAGGACTTCCTCAGTATCTTCAAGGTCTCGTGTCTGGGGCCCAGCTAGACCAGGGAGAAAAGGCATTCCAAACACACCTTGGCTCTATTCTCCAAGGTTTGAATATGGATATCTTTAGCCAAAATGTTCTAGAAGATCGCAGTGTTACTGATAGGGTGACAAAATAATTTACTGTGTAGTAGTAATGGACTCTTCTGAGAGTGAAAGAGGATGCTATTGAAAATTACACCAGGGAACACATGTAACTGGAACTGTCCTGGGTACATTGGGACATGGGTCACCCACACAATTAACCATAACATGTGCTGCCTGGTTTCTGTTAGATTCGCTCTTGTAGATTTCGTAGTATAGCCTCCCAAGTGATTATTCAAGACATGTTTTTTCACACTCTGGGCTGCAACCCATTAGCGGGTCATGAAATCAATTTAGTGGGTGACACCCAGCCTTCAAAAATAGAATTGGAATAAAAACAAACATCAGTAAGTTATATGTAGTAAAGAATAATAGCATTTTGTTTAATTATATATTATATATATATATATATATACACATACATATGTGTATATATGCAAAAATACCCATATATGCAATGTATCCAGGATAAAAGTATCCATTATGACTGAAAAATAAATTATTTGGTCACCTTGTTAATAGAATTATTAATATATTATTTATTATATATTATATATATATATATATATTAATAGTATATTCAGGCAATGTATTGACTTATGGTAGGTACACAATAAACTTTGTTAATTGAATGGATGAATACCTTATTTTATAATTAGTCAACCAGTTAAGTATTCATCCCATCTGTATTGTCAGTGGACTGACCGAATAAATAAATAAATAAATACCGATTTGTCTGAGTGTATTTCTATTCCTTTTCTTTGGTCTCTCAGGTAGTTTTGGAGTAAATGGAGTCAGAAGGACCCCCAGAATCAGAGAGTTCAGAAAAATCATTTTTCTCACGGCAAAAACAAGAGGAGGAGGAGGAAGATGAGCAGGAGGAGGAGGAGGAAACAGGTGCTGTTAATCCTNATTTGTTCTTTTTCCTTTTAATAATATATTATGGACATCTTTCCTAATCCACTTTGTGCTACATGCTTCTGCCTATTTAATAATATGGTCAGGATATACGATACATTTATTGATTCCTCTTTATTATTGCAAACCATGAAACGGTATACCTCTTAAATCAGACCCCAGCAGTTTGCTGCGCATGTGCACAGAGATGGTTTTGCAGAGGGGAGGTGTTCAGGGGGGGCGGGGCTCTTCCTGCATTTCCTGCACTTCCTCCTCTGGGAGCCAGCTGAGAAGGAGCACAGTATCCGCCATGTCTGCTGAGCTGCATGCAGCCCACGCCATCCGCTCAACTCTTTCCCAACCTTTGCAAACACTTCTCTTTGTCACAGGGCTCTCTGAAAATAAAGAATTAGGGAGAGGGTGTGGACTGGCCCAAAGCTTCATGACTCTACATTGTGAGTTTAATTATATTCACGTTTCACTGATGTTAGAGCTACACAGGCCAATATAGTCGTCGCTGGCCACACGTGGCTACTTAAATTCAAACTCATTCAAGTTAAATAAAGTTAAAAACCAGTTCCTCAGTCACACAAGCCACTTGTTTTAGTACTCAGTGGTCACGTGCATGTCTGATGGTGGCCGTACGGGACACTGCAGGTATAGGACATTCCATCATCACAAAAGTTCTGAGGGACAGTGCTGGCTGAGAGATACTATGGAATTTTATTTTTCAACGAATAAGTGGAAAGTAAGTTCTCTTGTTTCTCTGTCTAGAATACTGTCCTTGGTGCATGCCGTATAAAAAGTGAGTGGTTGGAAACCCATTTGGAAGCTCCTATTAACGAGCTTTTTGAGCAGAAGCAACAATTGGAAGATATCGTGACTCCTATCTTCACAAAAATGGCTGCACTGCGTAAGTTTTGCACAAAAAGTGTTTTGAATGTCAGAAAAGATGAAAATTAGGTTCAATGTTGTTATTTCTGAGATACTCTGATTTTAACAATCTTCATTAAGTAGCCATTAACTTGGTTACAAGCACTAACCTGTTATATAACTCCCTAGTTTCGTTAATAGTTTTAATGTTAAGAACTTAAAATAATAACTGAATTATTTCTATAGAGACTGTCCAATACTAATCTTAATATTATTACCATCATTGACCATTGAATTTTATATAATTTACTATGCTTTTGATTTTGACCCGTGATTTTCAACTAGAAAGGCATGTCCTCTTAGGAGGCAGAGTGCCAGAATTGAGTTATAAAAATAGTCACGGGGAAGCAAAGTACAGCATAGGGAATGTAGTCAATAATATTGTAAAAACTGTGCATGGTGTCAGATGGGTACTAGACTTATCAGGTGAACACATCATAAGGTATATAAATGTCTAATCACTATGTTGTACACCTGAAACTAATATAATATTGTATGTCAACTGTAATTGAAAAGTAAATTTAAAAGAGCATTTTTAGTATTATAACTCTATATTTTGACAAACCTATTGTGGGAATACTGTGCCGTGAATGGGGCAGGTGCAGTATTAGAATCTTGGAGGCAATCGTACTGGACATTTAAAAAATACCAGCTTTGTTGAGATATAATTCTTATACTATAAAAGTTACCATTTAAAAATGTATAATATAGTGATTTTCAGAATATTCATAGAGTTGTATAATCATCACTGCTATCTAATTTTAGAACTTTTTTTTTTTAAGTTTTTATTGGGGAATTGGGGAAGGGGAACAGCCAAGTTGTTGTCCTTCATTCTTAGTTGTGGAGGGCGTAGCTAGCTCAGCTCTAAGTCCAGTTGCCATCTGGCCGTCCATCGGCAGCTCGCAGCCTCTCAGCTCAAGGTGCCATGTTCAATCTTAGTTGCGGGTGGGCGTGTAGTCCACCATCCCATGTGGTAGTCGAACTGGCAACCTTGTTGTTAGGAGCACGTGCTCTCAGCAGCTGAGCCATCCTGTCACCTGTTGGCAGCTCAGCAGCAGCTCAGCTCGGGCGCAGCTCCCTGGCCTATGTGGGAATCGAACTGGCAACCCTGTTGCTCAGAGCTCACGCTCTTAACCAAATGAGCCACTTGGCCTGCCCTAATTTTAGAACATTTTACCACCCCCAAAAAGAAACCCCATACCCATGAGCAGTCACTGTCCATTCCTCTCTCCCATAAGCCCCTGGTAACCGCTAATCTACTTTTCATCTGTATGGATTTGCTTCTTCCGGACATTTTATAAATAGAATCATACAATCTGGCATTTTGTGTCTGGCTTCTTTCACTCTACATAATGTTTTCAGAATTCATCCATGTTGTAACATGTATCAGTTTTCCTTTTTATGGGTGAATAATACCCCATTGTATGGATTCAGATTTATCCATTCATGAGTTGATGGACATTTGAGTTTCCACTCTTTTGACTATTATGAATAATGAGTATTATAAATAAACTTTTGTGAGTAAATTTTTGTGTCACCACATGCTTTGTTTTCTCTTGGGTACATACTTAGGAATGGAATTGCTGGGTCATGGTATGTCTTTGTGTAACCTTTTGAAGAACTGCCAAACTGCTTCCAATTTTTTATTTCCACAAGCAGTATATATGAGGATTCCAGTTTCTCCACATAATCAACATTTGTTTTTATCTTTTAAAAATAATTTTAGCCACTCTAGGGTGTGAAGTGATACCTTAATATAGTTTTAACTTATTTCCATTTCCTTAATTACTGATGATGTTAAACGTCTTTCATGTGCTTACTGGTCATTTGTGTATTTTCTTTGGAAAAATGTCTTTTTGAATCCTTTGCCCATTTTAAAATCGGATTCTCTTTTTATTGTTGAGTTGTGAGTTCTTTATGTATTTTGGAGACAGGTCCCTTATCAGATATATGATTTGCAAAAATTTTTTCTCATTCTGTGGATTGTCTTTTCATTTCCTTAATTATGACCTTGTAAGCACAAAAGGCTTTAAGTTTGATGAAGTCCAATTTATCTGTTTTTCCTTTTGTTGCTTGTGCTTACGTTGTCATATCTAAGAAACACTGCCTTTGTAACAAGGTTACAAAGATTTACTCTTA